GTGTTTTCAAGATTCTTCTATGTTTGAATTCATGTCAGTTGTTCACTACACAGTATTCTGTTGTATGAATATACTACACTATTTATTTACCAGTTGATGGATATTTAGATTGTTTCTAGTTTTTGGCTATTATGAATAGTGCTGCTATAAATGTTTGCAGGCAGATCTTTGCATGGGAATATGCTTTCATTTTTCTTGGGTAGATATCTAGGAATGGAATTGCTAGGTTGTATGGTAATTATTAATATGTTTATATTTTTTAGAAACTGCCAAACGTTTTTCCCAAGTGAGTTCTGCATCTCATTTTAGCACTTTATTGACTGAGGAAGAAGACCATGTTTCTGTCTTTCCTTCATTCATAAAGCTCATTTCTTTATTTCACTTGTGTTGAACACCTTAGCTTATCTCAATAATTGATATCTGTAAACAACAAAATTATTTCCCTCAAGGTGCTCAGTCTGTTGGAGAAACAGGAATACCTTGGTAACTAAATGCAGAAAGAGAAGTATGGTAAGCAAAGCCCACTGTGGGGGTTGGGACACAAAGCGGAGAGCACCAATTCTAGGCTTGGAGGAGCAGAGAAAGTTTTGGTGAAGTTCACACCTAAGATGATTCGTGGAGACATATCTAGTGAAGTGGGAGAAAAGGGGCTTTTTAAGCCTAGGAACAGAAGGCCTGCTGCCCTGCTTGCAGTCAGAACCCCTTTACCCAGATCAGTTTTACTTTTCTCCATAGTAATTATTGCTTAGAGTGTGCTATGTAATTTATGTGCTCATATGTTGAGCTATTGTCTCTTTTCTCCTTTAAAGTAGATATCTCTGTCTGTTTTGTTCACTGATAAAGCCCAAATAGCCTGACACAAGAAAATGTACTCAGTGACTATTCATTGAATAAATGAATGCGTAACATGAACAGTTTTGATAAACATGTGTATTTCATGCTGCTAATACACCAACTGCAGACAAAACTTCACTAAGTTGAACAACATCAGAGTTGCTAGAAAAAGTAGAAGGGTGAATACGTGAGATTTAAGATGGTAGAACATCATATCACAAAGTGAAAAGCAGTGTCTTGTTTCAGAATGTTAAGTCTAGATCTGGCAAGACGAGTTTGCACAGTGACCAAAGGATGGTGTGATACTTCTGGTAAGAGAACAAGATTTTTATTACATTAGAATCCAGGGAGAAAAATGCAGGTACCAATGAATAACTTTCAAGTAACTTTTCAGAAAGTTAGAAATGATTGAAGAGAAAGGATGCTCTTCGAGAAAGTCATTTCAGTTAATGCAATAAGGAACAAGGGATCTGAGGGGGTGGAAGGAGGGAAAGGAGGAGAAAACTGTCATTTCCTTAGGATTTTCCCACTGTGATTGTCATTTTTGAGGCATTTTTTGCAAGTCAAATAAGCAAAGACAATTTTTGACACAGTTATCTGTGGTTTTGAATACAGTTTGAACATGAAGTGAGAAATGCCTTTGCTCATAGAAGAAAAATTTACTGGGGAAATATTAAGGTATCTTTTACTCATTTTTATTTAGGCTCTTATTTGAAGGAATCTCAGCCATTTCAGTTTTGCCAGAAAGAAATCCACTATAATGAAGATTTACAGTTTTTCTCTTACATGTATCTGTATTTAGTTTTTTGTTGATTGATTTTTGTGTTGTTGTCATTTAAGATGGCCTTCTTCTACTGATAGCAGGTTATCCAGAGAGTAATAATGCTGTAAATTTGGTATCAATTCAATTCAGCTCAAGAGAAGTGTTTTTTCTGTGTTTTAATTTTTCATTTACTTTTGGTTGAGTAAGGGATAGGGACACTAGAAAAGATGAAACTATATAATTGTGAAAGTGAAAAAGTGAAAATGTTAGTTGCTCAGTCAAGTCTGACTCTGTGATACCATGGACCGTAGCTCTCCAGGCTCCTCTGTCCATGGGATTCTCCAGGCAAGAATACTGAAGTGGGTAGCCATGCCCTTCTCCAGAGAAGATGAAACTGTACAATTAATCATGGGGTAATTGTGAAAGGCCTTTTATACTCTGCTTAAACACTTAAGGAAATGGCAACCTACTCCAGTAATCCTGCCTGGAAAATCCCATGGACAGAGGAGCCTGGTAGGTTACAGTCCATGGGGTTCAAAGAGCCAGACATAACTGAGCGACTTCACTTTAAACACTTAGACATTCTCCAGGAGCAATTGGGAATCATGCAGGATTTTAATGAAAGAAGAGGTTTGTGGAGTGAAGATTTGCTGTGATTGTGATTTGGACACTAAATCAGAAGAAAAAAACAGAGCTATGGAGAGGGATAATGGTTAATGGTTTAGAGGACTTCTGCAGTAACTCAGGTGAATGTTCATGGTGGTCTGAAGGAGGTGTGGGTAACAGAAGCTTTGAAGAGCTGTGGCAGATACAGCAATGTTACAACTTAATGGTTACTTGCACAGATGCTGAGAAGGAGATTGAAGTGTCAAAGATGTCACCCATATTTCCTGTTTTTGGACAACTGGATAGAAGGTGACATCATTCACTTCAGAGGAGAACACAGGAGAAAAGAGAAGCAGGCATTTCATGGAGTGAGATGATGAGTTTGGTCTTGGATTTGTCTCTCTTGGGGAGAATCTTAGTCAGTTTGTGATGCCACATAGCAAAATACCATAGTCTGCATGGCTTAAACAACAAACATTTGTTCAGCAGAGTTGTGGAGCCTGGGAAGTCCGAGATCAAGTTCTGGTGGATTCCACACCTGATGAGAGGTTTCTTTCTGGTTGGAAGACAGCTGCTTTCTTGCCATATGTTTAGATGGAGGAGGCATGGGGAGGAGCGGGAAAGCACTGGTGTCTTCATCTTTTTATGAGGACACTAATTCCATGATAGGAGTTTCACCCTTACTACTTCATCTAAACCAAACTACTTCCCTAAGACCCCATTTCAAATACCATCATGTTAGGGTTTAGGGCTTCAAAATATGAATTTGGGATGTGGGGGAACACAAATATCGGGTTCATGACAGGGAGCCTGTGGAATACTCATTGAATAGGTACATTAGGCAGTTGAATCTTGGGATGAGTGCACTAGGATTGAAAGGAGTTTGCGGGTATAGGTTTTAGATACATGTGTACAAATGTGGTTATACATGCTGCCGTGGAAGTGTGTATGATCCCCTGTGGAAGGTATTGGAATGAGAAGAGAGTGAATTTGTACTTAGAAATCTGGGGCATAAGAAACAGAGGGGGAAAGAAGACCCTATGAAAGAAAGCAAGGAGCAGTTAAATGGGGAAGAGGGGGAGGCTGCAGAAGCGCATTGTCAGGAAAGAGGCATTTCAAGAGGGAGGGAGTGGGCTGTAGTGTCAGTTTCCAGAGTTCAATTAAGTGAGGGCTAAAAAGGGTACACGGGATTTAGCAACATGAAAATCATTGCGGTTCTTGGTAACAACCCTTTCTGTGCATTAGTGGGTGTAGAAATCAGTGAAGGCAGGAAATAGAAACAAATGGTGAATATAAATTGTTTTATTCTTTCTAAAGTAATTGTAGGAATTTACATTAAAATACCCTAGCCCAACATAGCATTTTTTTATTGAGATAAAATTCACATGAGACTGTTGTTTAGTTCCTAAGTCAGGTCCCACTCTTTGTGACCCCATGGACTGGTGCCCACCAGGCTCCTCTGTCTGTGGGTTTTTTCAGGCAAGAACACTGGAGTGGGTTACCATTTCCTTCTCCAGAGGATCTTCCCAACCCAGGAACTGAACCCATATCTCCTGGACTTAACTGGACTGCCAGGGACGTCCCAGATTCATTTATGTTTAATGTTGTGGACTGTATTTCTCCGTTCAGAGACACTAGTGTAGATGGAAGATTTGAGTTCTATCTGTCACAAGCAATCTAGCCTCCTGTGGTTCAGTTAAACTTTATTCATAAAGACTAAGAAATGTTTTAGAGGCAGAGCAATGATTACATTCCCTGTAAAATTCTTGGTATTTTTTAATCTTTTATATTGAAGTCTCATAGTTTTTATATAAAATTTTCATAATGAATCAGGTACAGTACAAAACTCATTAGATTTTACATAATGGTTGGAATAAGTTAGGTTAAGTTGCTGAGCTGCCCAACATCTTTTATTATTTGTTGAGAAGATTTTTAATATTTATATTTGAAACCCTGACATGAACTTTTAAAAAAAAAACACATTTTATTTTGTATTGGGTATAACTGATTAACAATGTTGTGATAGTTTCAGGTGCACACCAGAGAAACTCAGCCATCCATATACATGTATCCATTCTCCCCTTCACTTTATGTCCTTAAAAGTGTCATTTTCCTGTGCACTCTTTCCTTTATAGAAATAATTGATTATGGAACTGAGATTTTCCAAGACATGGCTCTGTGATTTAACCCTCTGGGAACTTACTAAACTTGAGAGAAAAACAATGTTTGTTGAGGATCTGTTAAGTGTTTTATTTTTCCAAGCTTATTTAAATCCTATAACAACCAGTAAGTGGTGGATCCATGATATGAACCTCAATTTTAATGAACTCCAAAGTCAAGGCCTCTATGCCTCATGTAATAGGGCATGCTGTTAATGACTGTGTCTGTGATGCTAATTAGGTTCCATCTTAGATACTTGGGGCCCACTAGAGAAGTAGGATGAGAAAGATGCTGAAGATGGCCACGGGCTCAAGAGGAAGTGGAGCTCTGATCAGTTGGCTCTGATGTTTTCTAGGAAGATGGACAAGAAGGGGTTGGGTGGGTCCTACTTGTACCACACGTTGGCTGCCCTAAACTGTGTCCTGTTACTTCTCAGAGAAGATTCTGGATGCTTTGTCAGAAGAATATTAATTTCTCTTATAAAATGTATGTCTGGGAGAAGTCCAATGCTGATTCAGAGAAGTATCTTTTGATGATCCTCCATTTCACTTATTCTCTCTGTTCAACATATGATCTCAATAAACAAACTGCTCGGATTGATGCATTTATTCCTATTTGTGGTGTGCGTTTATTTCAGGCAGAAAAAGCCGACGGATTTGTTAACCTGCCTGATTTCACTGTAGAGAAAGCGTCTGAATGCAAGAAAAAGCAGTAAGTTGTCTATCATTTTCCACAAAATAACGGGGCCAGGATAATAGCCTTTTTATAAGTTCCTCAGGTGATATGGTGATTTGGAAGTTCATGATGGTGATATTCAAATGTATAAAAACTTTGACTTTATGGTTTGGTACACCAAACAGTAACAGAAGCTTTTGACCTCTTGTTTTCTGGAATTTCACTTTGTGAAGCAGATGGATCGTAAAACCCCACAGAGCCCTGGCGGGCCGTGCTGCTAGTGACTGTGTCCGTGATCCAGTGGGAAGCGAGCCGCCATCCAGGCCTGGCAGGGCGATCAGATGTCAAGGATGTGTCCTTGTATAGAGAACGGCTAGTTAAATAGGACTCGCAAGAGCAGCAGATATGCTATGAGACCAGTTTCTTTTTCTTAGTTCATGAAATTGCCAGTAGCATTCTGAAATTGAATTCTCTGAGCTGTCTTAGACTTGGGGATTGCACCCTGATATACTTAAAGTCTAAGAGATTTGACAACCAACAGGAGCCAGAGTTCCCAGCCTAGACCAACTCTCCAGACTCCCAGTCAAGTGCTCTTCCCATAACAGGATCCATCTTCATTTACCACATGTGTCTTTTTCATCTTTTACTTATTCGTTTGTTCTGCTTTTGACATCATTTCCTGTTTTGTTAGAAAAGGGTAGTTCCCTATTGACCTGTGTTTCTAGTAGCAGCAACTGATGATTTAAAAAAAAAAATTAACCTGTTGTGAGCTTTAAGTCTGTGCCATTGTGATATAGCTGCATCAGCAAGTACCTAGTGATACACGAGGTTGCATCGATTCTTGTGGTTCTGACCAAACTGGTCATGTGCAAAAACTCTGGTCCACACTGCAGGACTTCCTGTCTAAATGGTAAAGAGGAAACACTTTGTTATCTTCAGTGTTTTATACTTTTCTTTTAAACTCAAAAATCTGCCTTGTATTTTTTCTTTACTAATAGAGGATAGCTTGCTTAATGTTTTTGATGTGTTGTCACAGTGTAGAAATTTTATACTTAATTGTTTTTCTATAAATGCAGTTATTGTATCTAAATTTAAATACTTTTCTTGATGGAGTTGATCTGGGTACTGTGAAGTTGCACATCTACCACTTTATATTTCAGTTTATTGTCTCTATAACAAACAGCAATTGAAAATAAAAGAATATGTCCATATGTTTTAAGTAGAGACTATTGATTACTCAAGACTAAGTCCTGGTCTGAATGTCCTGATGTGATGAATTCACCCTCTGCTCCCTACATGTAATAGAGATTAGACAATAGACGTTTAATGTAATTAAAAATTCTGCTTTTGTAAATTAACAAAGAAAGGAGATGAGGTTACCATATGTATATTTGACTGTTATACTTTTGACTGCATTGTTGACTGCACTAGTTTCTAACTTCTCATGTGTCTGTGCTTTTCCCTTCCAAGTGCTTTTAAGATCAGTCATCCACAGATCAAGACCTTTTATTTTGCTGCTGAGAATGTGCAGGAGATGAACCTGTAAGTAGAGAAAAATCACTCGATATAATCTTTATAGGATTCGAGTATTTTGGTTAAGTGTCTGAATTCTAAGCTTCTGTGCATGTCAGCTATTGTTTTATTTGTTTCTGCTGCTTTGCGGCCTAATCTCTTTAGTGGTCATAAAGTCTTTCTGCTTTCTTTCCTAGTATTTGGAAGCATTTTGGAGCACTACACAGGTCAAAATGGCTGTTTTAGGAAGAAGTAATAAGGTTCTTCTAAGGGAAGCTCTCAGACACTAAACTGAGAAAGGAATAGACAGAAGACATTGTAAGAAAATGTGAAAATGAGAATTAGCATCACAGGGAGAAAAGCCTGAAAGAATCGTGTTACAGGTCCCACAGCTTTAAGAATTCTACGTGGGAACTATCTCTGCAGGACTTCGTATGCGCTGTGTGATTGTCATGGTGACTCATGTTTATCATCTCTCCATGTTCTATCCTGAACATTTTGCAGCACGTCTTTATTCAGAGTGCCTCTAATATAAAAATGTATATCACTAACTCCATTTCCTGTTTGCTCCGGTTAAGTAAGTGGAATATCCTGGTAGAGCATTGCCTGGCTTGCAACATCCCCTGCTGGTTTAGATTACTGTGTGATCCCAATGGGTCTTATTTGAATGAAACTATATATATTTGAGGTGCTTGTGGCATTGGAGGGCATTTTGTTTAATTAATTAGTCCTAGTCTCAGAATTGTCAATATTTCATTGCTTTCAGTTAATTAATTAACAATATATCTATGGATTATCTATGATGTCCTCCCTTGTAATAGATCCTGGGCATTAAAAATGAAGAATACTGATTTAATATTTCCATTCATAGAGCTTATGGTTTCATCTATTTTTTAATGGATTTATATTTTTGTATCTAATTATATCTATTAATTTATTTAGACATAATGACTTTATCCATTTGCTCTCTGTAATTTCTCTTTTGCCTGTTGCTCTAGAAGCTTAAAGAAAAAAAAAAAACTACTTTTCACTAAGCATGCGTGAGCAAGAGCACACACACGCATGCACACACACACACACAGCACCTTACTCTGTATCCCCACAGAAGCCCTTTGTCACTAGAATCATTCTCATCTGTTCCCTACATTTACCTTCCCATTACAAACCTTCAAATGAGGGCAGAATGGCTTTTTAGCACAAAGTTAGGAAACCCTGTGTTAGAAATAACAAAGCACAGTATTGACAATCGAGTCTTCCAAGCAAGTCTTTTATTTACTTGGACAAAGGGAGAAATAGCTTCTATCCTCTTTTGATTTTAGCTTTTCTCTCTGGCTTTCTCAAGCATCTGAAAGAAATAGGAGCAGATACACAAAAGGAGGACGAGATGGTTAGATAGCATCACTGACTCAATGGACATGAATTTGAACAAACTCCAAGAGATAGTGCAGAACAGGGAAGCCTGGCATGCTGTAGCCCGGCGTCATGAAAAGTCAGATATGACTTAGAAGACTGAACAACAACATAAAAGGAGAAGATAGAAAATGTGACAGTCAAAGTTCTTTATTTCTCATTTTATTTGCGTTGGTAACTCTAAATTCTGTTGATTAGCAAGGTCTCAGTTCAGTTCAGTCGCTCAGTCGTGTCCAACTCTTTGCAACCCCATGGACGGCAGCATGCCAGGCCTCCCTGTCCATCATCAATTCCCAGAGTCCACCCAAACCCATGTCCCTTGAGTCAGTGATGCCATCCAATCATCTCATCCTCTGTTATCTCCTTCTCCTCCTGCTCTCAATCTTTCCCAGCATCAGGGTCATTTCAAATGAGTCAGTTCTTTGCATCAGGTGGCAAAGTATTGGAGTTTCAACTTCAGCATCAGTCCTTCCAATGAACATTCAGGACTGATCTCCTTTAGGATGGACTGCATTCTTTCTGGAGTTATTTCTCCACTGATCTCCAGTAGCATATTGGGCATTTACCAACCTGGGGAGTTCCTCTTTCAGTGTCTTATATTTTTGCCTTTTCATGCTGATCATAGGGTTCTCAAGGCAAGAATACTGAAGTGGTTTGCCATTCCCTTCTCCAGTGGACCATGTTTTGCCAGAACTCTCCACCATGACCCGTCCGTCTTGGGTGGCCCTATATGGCATGGCTCATAGTTTCATTGAGTTAGACAAGGCTGTGGTCTATGTGATCAGATTGGTTAGTTTTCTGTGATTATGGTTTTCAGTCTGTCTGCCCTCTGATGGTGAAGGATAAGAGGCTTATGGAAGCTTCCTGATGAGAGAGCAGCAAGGTCTAGATGTGTGGAAAACTTAATGTCTTGTCCAGAGAGTGTCAGTCTGGAGCCAAACCATACATCAGTCCCAAGTGGTCCTTTCTAAGCTGTGTGTGTGTGTTAGTTGCTCAGGGGTGTCTGACTCTTTGTGACCCCGTGGACTGTAACCCGCCAGGCTCCTCTGGCCACGGAATTCTCCAGGCAAGAATACTGAAGTGGGTAGCCATTCCCTTCTCCAGTGAGTCTTCCTGACTCAGGGATCAAACCCAGGTCTCTTGCATTGCAGTTGGACTCCTTGCCTTCGGAGCCACGAGGGAAGCCCTTTTTAAGCTTTGCTGGTGGTGAAATAGAGATGCCCATCAGCCACCTTTCCCCACCCCCCTAGGTTCCTGCCAGTACCTAGCTTCTCCCACGAACTTCCTGTATCTCCAGCTTTCTTCCGGTCTGTATCCTTTCTGTTCATCCCAGGGCTGGTTCTTCAAAGTAGTTCTGTTCACTCCAACCAGGGGAGAGTAAGACTGACTACCAGGGAAACAATGACTGCAAAGTCTTTTGTCACCTAGAGAATTTCTCTACCTACATGGTGAAACCACATTTTAAACCAGTAACAGGGTGAGACCCTTACAAGTTTATCTGAAACTCTTCTATTTCAGGCAAATTTGCTCTCTCAATCACACATCAGAGCTATTTAGCTCTTGCTCACCCACTACTCAAGTTTTGCTTACCTATCTGGACCATTCATCTTCACTTTCACAATTTCCCTTTGCAGTAATACAGTTATATGAGCATTAGCTACACACTCTGCCTATTTGACTATTAAGTCTAAGCCTTTCACAGTTATCAAAGCCAGGGTCTTAGGGCCTTTCTATGTTGTGAAGATCTGTGTTACTTGAGATTATTTTAGCATGTCTCTTTCCAGTTTACAAATAAGATTATAAATTGAAATTTAAGTGTGAGCTGTCCTGGCCCCATATTTTTGAATCAGTGACCTTTATACACAAAAATTGTCTAGCTGTCCACTCATAAGTAAATGGCCCATTTTGTCAATGCCCGAATGTACCATTATGTTTCATTTATAATATCATTATTAAGCTTTGTTATTCTGAAGATGATTTTTTTCTAGTAGCTAACAATGCAGAATCCCTTTGGGATTGCCAGTTAACCTCCTCCTTCTCCCACAAGCCTAAGCAGAGGATGTTTAAAGATTTGCTCTGCACTAGCCACTGAAGAACTTGCTTTCTTACTGATGAGGCGTGTTGGAGCCAGGACATAATGCCTCTGGGTATTAGTGAGGCGAAGAGGTGCTGGGGAACAAGGGAGTGATATTTGGAGAGACGGGGCCTGTTTTAGAAGATCCCCTCTTTGAGAAGCTGCCTTTTTGGGTGGTGACGTTTCTCATGAAAGAAAAGGTAATTAAGTTTAAGAAACGCTGTGTGTTCTGCAGGGACCCTCAATTTACAAGTGCAGGGGTGAGTAATTAAGGGTAATGTAAAAGTTGGTTTCTAAACAAAGGCTGGTGGTAGCTGCCTTTCTCAGGCAGTGTTTGTGGGAAGAATGTTCTCATTTTGTACATCAATTTCTTAACACTTGTGCTTCTTCAACGCACACATTCACAGCAAGTTAACATACAACAAACTCCCAGGAAACATCTGTCATCTTCTTTTACATAAATATAAGTCTTTTTGCATCTATCTATTTAGCTACAAATAGAAAGTTTTCTACTGCCTAGATATTTAAGAAAAAAAGTTCTTAGCAAAGATGGTACTCTGAGCCTGTGGGGTCTAGAAAGAAAGCAAACAAGATTTGAATAATCTTGAGTTTTGCCAGCAAGTAACTGATGGTGTCAATTAAAGGGAGAAGAGTTTTGAGTGAGGGCTGAAAGGAATCTTTTCTTTACTGTCAGTATTCTTCTGTTCTGCACATTTCTGGAAAGGAACTTAGGAATGTCTTTTCTTGATTCAGGCACTCTCAATTCATCGATTTTTTTTTTTTTTTTTGGTATTGATATGTTAAAAAAAGAATTTTGTCTATTTCACTTTGAGATGCTTTTTTGTGGGGGGCAGAGTCAAATGCAATTACAAAATTATGAAATCAGGAGTAAACTAGGAATTAGTTAGCCATTAAATTCATTGTGCTTTGCCTGATCAGTTTTTAAAAATGTATTTTTAAGCATTTTAGTTGAGTAATGTGTAAAATATATTCTTTAAAAAAATCTTGTAATACAGAAGTGTGTAAAATGAAAAACCTCCCAAGCCACTTTTCACAATATGACTATATCCTCTCTGATGCTTTTCTTTGCAAATCAAGTCATGCACATAGTTTTAGAAGCACATTGATGACAGGTATACACTACTATGTATAAAGTAGGTAACTGTTGAGAGCCTACTGTATAGTACAGGGAACTCTATTCAGTGATCTCTGGTGGCCTAAATGGGAAGGAAACACAAAAAAGAGGGGATATGTGTCTCTGTATAGCTGATTCACTTTGCTATACAGCAGAAACCAACACAACATTGTAAAGCAACTGCAATAAAAATTAATTTAAAAAGCACATTGAATCAGGATAAACACTTTGTTTTGTATTTGCTTTTTTTACTTAACAGTATGTTAGGATTTTTCCAGGTCATGACAAGGCTCCCTCACCCAACCTCTGTCTTTTTATTAGTTTCTTTATAACACGGTACTGATGGAATTTGTACCATACTTCATCCATTTTTCTGTTAATGGACAATTCTGTTGTATCAGTTGTTTTTTTTTGT